TAAAACAAAATTAAACCAAACAGAACTAAACAACAATGACAATAGGTATATACAATTGTAAATACAATTTGAGCTCACAACATCTTGCTTGATTTAATACAGTTTTACACATATCTAAAAGTGTTTGTGTTAAGGTCAACGGAAAAGTGTGAAGTGCCAAACAAAATTAGTCTAAATCTAACGCAACATTCAAATCATTTAAATTTTGAACCAGAAAACGTCTTTCGTTTGTAAAAATGTGACATTCCAAAAAGTAGTGAAATACATTCTCACAGGGATGACCACACTGACAAGCTGCACTTTCAACAGTGTTAACTTTCAAGAGGTCGTAATTAAGGGAGTTCAACCGATTTCGGAGCTTAGTATTCAAAATATAAAGTTTACGATTTCCGAATTTAAAGTAGATTGGTTGAATTGATTTTATATTTGACGTTAAACAGGATTGGAATGAATTTACAGAGGCTCAGAATCTAACCGAGTTATTCCAATAATAAAAAATAGAACGTGTAAAAGAAAATTTAGTAAGACAGTCTGAAGGGAGGAATCATAAAGTAATTATTGTTACGTAAACTTAACGGATATTTTCTCCAGTTAAAGGCGGCAAAAGTTGATTGAAGTAATCAGGGGTTGATTTATTATGCATCTTATACAACATATGAAGTTTTCTCGGTTTTTTTCCGATTAGACAACGTTTCATGACCAGTTATATAAAGTACAAATACGGGTATAAGAAGAAGGAAGTCCTGGTATACTGCGAGCAGCTTCACGTTGGGCTTTTTCTAACTTTTCATATTAAAATGTAGTGCAACCGTCCCACAACTCAAAAGCATATTCTAATACAGGTAAAATGAAGGTCTTACAAATTATCAAAAGACCATCCCTACTTAATAAGTGTTTCAGTTTCCATAAGACATTATTTTTTTCATCAAAGAAGTGTAAATACCATTGACATGATCCTCCCACTTTGCATTTGAGTTAAAAGTTACCCCTAAATGTTTATGATAATCCGTAAAGTTTAAGACTCTCCCATCAAATTATAATTCCAAGTCTTTGTGTTTATCAATGGAATTAGAAATAAACAATACATATGGGGGGTTTTCAGGATTAAAACAAACAAACCAAGTATTTGGGATCTCTAGGTCTCTATTTAAAGTTTCTTTAATTTCTAGACAAGATGGTGACGAGTTGAGTGATGACGTATCGTCTGCAAAAAAGACGAGATGTTGATATATATAAGAAATAAAAGTGGCCCAAGAATAGAGCCTTGTGGAACTCCTGCCTCGAGTAGACCTACAGAAGAAGTAGTCTCGTTCAACCAGAGTCTGTTCAAACCCTATGATATCGTATATCGAGGCTTACCAGAATTCTGGTAAATTATTACATTGGTCAAAGGTAGACACACCCTTTTCAACTTTTGAAGTCAGAATTTGAATGGCGCAAAATGGCATTGAATATTTCAATTCATGACAAAACTTACCTGTGCATGCATTCCTGAAGTATCCGTGTTTTCACTTTTATGGAGCAAAATTTAAGACAATAAAGTTCAAATCTCAAGAATGATTGCATGTATTTTCATTGATTATTTTACATTAATTCTTGAAGACAATAAGGCTATTGACACAAGTAAAGCCAGATTACTTGAGTGAGAACCTGTAGTGTTTTGAATGGTGTGTATAGGTAACATCTCACTTGTTTTGCATGGGGTTCTCTTTCAAAACTTTACCAACAGTGAACAGCATGGACATTTGTCTACAGTTCGAAAGAGAATGTCTGTCACCCTTTTTAAACAATGGCATGATGTTAGCTAATTTCCATTTGTTTGGATATCTCCCTGTTAATAAGGACATGCGAAATATTATTTCGAGGGAAGTACAAACAGTGTGAGCAGTATTAATTTGGGCCAGTCCGTCTGTCACGTTTCAGTTCCTGGGCAATAACTACGCTAATAATGGTCTGATTTCGTTAAAATTTATTGTGCACATACACATTAACATGTTTCAGGCTCTATTCGCTGGTCAATGCCATCTGTGCATATTTACGCATAATAAATTACTCTCATTACATTCTGATTAGCTTAAAAGTTTCCATGCAATAAGTGCACTAATAATAGTCTTATTTCAATAAATTGTGCTGTACACATACGTATTAACATGTTTAAGACTTAGTTCACTAGGATCCGTGCATATTTATGGATAATTAATTACACTTATGCATTCTAATTGTGGAATTGATTTCTGTGCAATAACTTTGCTTTATGGTCCTATTTCAACAAGTTTTGGTGTGCACATACAAATCAACACGTTTCATGCTCTATTCGCTCGTCAATGTGATCTGTGGAAATTTACGCATAATTAATAATAAAAAAAAAACACTAATCAGTTAAGGAAGGATTAGTAAAGGTATTCAAAACGCCTAACAGTTAATCGTAACCTTGTCTTGTAGTCGGTGACTGCGAAATATTGTCATAATATCTTTACTGGGGATATATAGGATCTTACATGAGTTTCCTTTTCATATGAAATTTATGAATTGAGTCTACGATTTTTTTTTAATTTAGCGAGCGAGCCTCTGGCGAGCTAGAATGAAAAATTCGTGACGAGTTTCATAAGTGTCATATGAAATGAAAACGAGTGTAAGATCTTTTTTATCACATAATCAAGATTTGAGGCATTTATTGTTATAAAACGACAATTTTCATGTCACCCTCAAACGTAAAAAGCCGCCATTTTGACTGCAGTGAATAAGTCTGTGACGTCATATGCTTGTCCTAGGCGTGACGTCACAATTGAAACAATTGAAACTTACAACTAATCACAGGGCTGATAGGTCATGTTACATAGATAAATACGCAAAATATATACTGGATAACACAGTACATTATGTGATAAATGATTGTTTGTCACGATTAGGAATATGGGCAAAGGAAGCAACCCCTTTACAGAATATAACTTTCCCTATTCACGATTTTATGGAGATCACTCTTGTAACAGATCCATTTCGTATGGAAAATAATGTTTTCAGAGACCCTAAACTTCCCTCTTGTAATTCATTTCTATATATCACATAGATGAGGACAAATAACTGCACCTTGTCTTATTCCCGGACTGCGGAGCTCGGGGTATCAATCAGTCAAATCTTTATATGCTAACCAATGAAATTGTTGTATACTAGAAATGCTCCAATGAAACGTTTCCATGGTGACATGAGTGACCAATGGAATTTGGCTTATACATAAACCCCCTAGAACTATTCTAGGCAGTTACATTTCATACCATAGCTAATCCTGACCCACACTAGCCATTTTGAAACAAACTGAAGACCTATGTCTATGAAACAGTTTCTGCTTTGTCTGCTCTTTATTCTCCACNCTCGAGATTCCAGTATTTAAACTGAGTTTATGCATACCATATGATCCATGTAGGCTAAGCGCAATACTCTTGTAAACTGATGACGTTATGTCACAACTGTGGCATCAAATCTTAGGCCTAAAGGGCAATACTAAACTGACAATGTTCACTTCAACTGCCAGTAATATTCGTGTAATAAGATTCAAATTAAATGGTTTTCCTTGTCTTATATCATTTTTATCGAAAATGTAACATTAATACAGCTAATGAGCAGTTTATGTGATAGTAAAACCACCGACTTAAATAGCAATTTAATTTCGTAGTAAAACGTATCGCTTATGTATGTTTATCTACGAGTAATACAAAAATGAACAATTGTTCCTGCTACTTCTCAAAAAAAATTTGTGTTATATCGCATTATTGACCAGTCGGGGTAGCCACAACGGTTGAGTGCGTCTTTTATGTGCTGTTCTTCCCTGTGTCTATCGTCCTGCTCGGTGATGATGTTGTTGCATCTGTCGAGAAGTGTATGTACGACTCCAGGCTTTTGGTGTATTGGATGGTGGGAATTGATAGCCAAATATTGATCAGTGAATGTCGGTTTGCGGTACACTTATAGTTTGATGGTGCCGTTTTCTTTGCGGACGATGAGCGTGTCCAAGAATGGTATGGTTCCGTCCTTTTTCTCATCTGTACGACCCGATGCTGACATAACAGGGAAGGGGGCTATATCTACACCTCATACTACCTGTAACCTATCGGACTCCCTATCGATAGGCGAAACGTCTCGGATCGAGTGACATGAAAAACAGGTAAATAACACAAATCGCTCACTCAGTCATAGTTTGACAAAGGGACCAGTCGGTCTTGAAACGTTGCGACACGTACATTGTTTGTGTAAAAAGTGAAACTTTGATATGATGTATATCATCATTGGGATGGAACTTTTACCGAAAATTGATCTTAACCCTTCAAACATGTAAAATTACTCTAAACACCTTTGTTTAGGTCCAAATATAGCTGTAACAAATTATCATGTCCTTGTGGATTGTAACTGGGCTACAAATGTATTGGTCGGCTTTGACACAAGTGCAGAAAACACATCAATTACGTAATAAATTATCTAATCAAATTGTAAACAAAGAATGTGTAATATATCGTCCTGATTTACTGGTGCCCCTGCAAACGACTCAAATCTACAAATGGCTGCACATATACATGGTCTACGCGGGGAGGTGTAAAAACGTTAAGGATGCGTAGTCATAGTTTCTATACCTGTACGTTAAAGTCTCATATTTGATAAAATGTACTACAGTATGGCAATACACGCATGTCTGTTCTGTCTGTGATGCGACGTCAACGTTTCGTATTCCGTACTGATAGTATACTATACAGTAGTATACATGGGCGAGGCGTAAAGTTGTATAGCTTGCGCGTACAAGCATATTTATGTACAAATTGTCAGAGATGACAACGATGGTGACATATCAAGTTTTGTGTTCGAAATGGTCCAGTAACAGCGTTTTGTTTCCCACATCGATTCTTGCCTATGGTCCCTTAAGTTATTATAAGGGCCGCCAAGACCACCAATCAGTGGTCTGATAGGAGATTATCTATGTGTCACAGCTCGTGTTTATGCTTCCTGCTTCGCATTAGCTCTTAACATATTTCCCTTATATATGTAAGAACGTTTTAAAGTTTAAGATGGGGTTACAGCAAATGAGGTAAGAATAGGATTAGGGACACTAACGTATAATTTTGGAAATATACATTCGAAGGGTTTACCGGATATCGCGCGTGTGTGTGGGTGTGTGTGTGTGTGTGTTTATCCTAAATTCAATCACATCCCATGCCGCGTTTGTCTCGGACTCTGTGAATGTCTGCCTTAATTACGTACTTAGCCGAGGTTTCGTCATTGCCGGAACTTTTCAGCAGATATTTTAAGGACTTTCTAGACTTTGTCATCAAACACTTTTACTACATCATTGTAACAAAATATTCAAAATGTAAAATACTGGGGTTATAATTAGCATTACTTCGGGAGTTTCATGTTAGTCACTGACTTCTTATAGGGGTTATCTCCCTTCGCCTATATTTCTTTAGTAGTCAAGGGGAAAGGCCTTAACTTCGTTTTTGGTAATCTTTCGTTAACAAGGAGTGCAGCGACAGTAAAACAAATATGACGTCCATGGTTCGAATCCCCGACTACCCCGCTTTTTACACTCATAATTATAGCTGTTATAACGTTGTTGGTTATAATTTGTTTCCTTCATCTTTTTACCTGTCCATAAAAGTCCCGCATAGCAAGATTTTTCTTTGAGAAATGCTATATAAAAGCTATGGTCATACAAGAAAAAAATCGAACGCGTATAGTTAGAGTTGTTGTTGGCTACGAACAGGCATCCTTAAGAAATGGTAATCTAGCTAAGGCTGGCAATGCAGCATCGGATCCTTTTTTATGATATGTGAATCTTGATTAGATATATTGTTCTATTCACACGCACTGCATTTCAGCAGATTTTATCGAAAACTTTTGGACAAGTTGAAGCCACAAGTTCCAATGTATGTATTGATTAATAATTAAAGGTCGTAAAATTTACAACAGCATATAACATGCATATACACCTTTTTACGATATGCGTTTTTTAAATTATATATTAGGTATACATGTACGTGATATGATCATCACACAAATGAAATATTTTTTATCTATATCATGATTTTGACTCATTTCATTATTTTTTTTTAAATATATATATAGATCTATTTGAATAATGCCATTTACTATAAAGTTCTAATTCAAATAATTAAACGTGTATTTATTAGAGTATAATTTGTTGTGAACACTGCCGTGTCTAGCATTCTGTATTCTGACATACAATGATATTGTTTAAAACTTAACTAACCACATTTCGAAAACTGTACAGTTGTGTTCAAAGCTATAATAAATAAATATTTATTTATATATATTTATTTGTCCTCTAACAATTATTCATAATTAAAACCACTGAATAAGTCCAATTTAAATTCATTATATATAACGTTGTACACACGTGTATCATATTACCAAAAGGGTCCCCATCAACTATGCCAAATATAACAATTAATCAGTGTTTATTCTAAAATGCTAGCCACACAGTGTATAGAAATAGGTGTTGTCCAAATGACGTGCGATATCACGCTTGACCAATCATCACCTGACGTCACGACTTTTGTTTATAAAAACAAAGTCGCTCTTCTGTAAGTGGAGGTAGTGAAATTTGTCTTGGAAGTTATCTATACTCTGATTGGTTGTATTGGTGGAAGAATGATCATTTTCGACCAATGAAATTAGTTTTAACATAGTTCATTGTATTTGACAGGTGTTTGGGAAAGAAGAAGGAAGACGACGAGTGTGATAAATATAGTTGGTATTTCCAGATGAAACTGAAGAACATCTTATGACTTAAGTACTCAGGTAAATAACAAGTGAAGTACAACAATCCATTTTTAATACTCAACAGTAAAATGTGTGTTGGCTGTGAAAGATGACATACCGGTGTGTCAAATGTGCAGAACGTCAGATCGTTCTATGGGAATATGATTGATATGATCATTCGCCAAGATTTGCCTTAGGCCGTTCGTACAAATGGAGAAATTCGCCGCTCTCTGGCGAGGAACACTTATCTTTACTTACGGTTCATCGCATGATCACACTGAAAGCATGTGAAACTAAATATTTATGTTTCTGGTAGTCCTATGTGCGATCTGATTCCTCAAATTTAATTTTGTGAACTCCGGAGTTTGCCCGTTTACCGCATTTATGATTTGCAAATCTTCCACATGTGATATTTTTTAGATGGAAAGAAAACAGTTTTAAACGTGATAGTCATTTCAGTCCACACACACACACATCAACCACCTCACACACACACAAACTAACATGATTTTACGCAGCTATGAAAATATAAAGAATTCCTTATTTGCAAAGTGGCTACCTGCTACCACGAAAAACAGCTGTCATAGAATCAGTTGTTTTCTTAGCAGTATTTTCTTAACTTTAGTCATTTCACATATATGCTTAATACTTGGAAATCCCTCCATCTGTAGAGTCACCTGTATCTACTGACTACTGTTGTTAATTAAATCATCAAAAATAATTTTCGGATCCCCATCATGTAGTAGAAATTCCCATGATAGCATTATTTAACCAATATAATGCACACCGAATGCTGAGTTGTGTTTTGGTTATTAACAAAGCAGTTTCTGTGAAATATGATTTTTGGTTTTAGATACAGTTGAAAGGTTGTATCACCAGTAAGCATAATTAAACTTACTCAAAAGCACAAATACCAGTTGTTACCAGTTTACATAATTGAGAAACAAAATATATAAAAACAAAGTTAAGACTAAAAAAGTATTTTGTGAAATTCTAATTATGAGTAAACAAAAATCTTTTGATTTATAAAAAAATACTCAAGACACACAGGCTGATTGATAATTGCTCACTGTATATTATGCACTGTATTATAGTTAATCCTAAAATTTTAGCTATGTAACAACACTTCTCTTTGATTTATTATCCTGTGTCTTCGGACAATGCTTGTGTATCGGAAATGGACTGGGTCGATCGTCGGCGACCAGATAGCTCAATTGGTAGAGCATCTGTCTAGCTAGAGTTCGGAAGGTCGCGGGTTCAAACCCTGGTCTGGCTGTGCATTTTTCCTCTCCTGTTACACTTGTAAATATTATACAATAATTTCCTAACAAATGATGCCCATTCAACACTCTTTCAAAAGTCTCCTTCATTTTGCAAATGTTAACAATTGACATGTGTGTGATTTGTCATGGATTAATTAGTTAAAATTATGCATGTATATATATACCGATAATTGAAAAATTATTTTCAAATGTAGACGTACCTGGTACTATAGATATACCATATATATTACACGCATTACAGAGAAGACAAATTAAAGGTGGCATTGATGTCAGTTTGACATTTGTCTGGATTTGTCATTATTCTATTCATGGGGATTTAAATTTCATTGCTTTAAAAATGATTTTAGTTTGCAGCATATTTTTTTATTTAACTCTGATTTGAGTGCATATTTGTTAACTTTTTGAAGTATTTGAAGAAAAAAAAAGAAAATGAACAGATTTTACTATGATTCAAGTACTACTAGACCCAATAGCCATTTTTCTTTCTTTTTGTGTGTGTACATATTGATATGCTTTGGTAAATTTAATAGGCATGGCATATATTAATTATTATACTTGTAATATAAATACATGTTAAAAGTATGGTACATATCTGTACATGTCAATTTTTTCTTTCCAGATGTTTCAGCTTTTGCCATGGTTTGAAGTAAGATACTAACAGGAACAGTTGTAGGAGATCTGAAACAGGATGGCAATGGAACCTGATGAATTAACAGTCATTGGTAAGCAATTATGCTGTCTCTATTTGTCCAAGGAAACTCTCTTGATAGCTCAAATATAAGTAGTCTTTCCCCTTGATGCTGCTGGTCATGCAGTAAGTCTTCAGTAGTCAGAAGGAAATTGATGGGGAAATAGGTTGAAATCACAATGTTTCTGACTGAATTTTACTGGTAAGTGTTAGATTTGCAATAATATTTGGATTTTCAGCTGTCAATATTTTTTTGAAGGTACCCTTCATATATGTGTTTTTGAGAACTTACAATTTAATTAAATTGAGCATTATATAAAATAGTGATTTTGTTAAATTTTATTTTAAAGTGCTAGTTGTAAGAAAGTACAAAAATACATTGATTTTGATAGCATTTCATATGTCACGCAGTATTTAGAAACAAGTACTTTTAAAAGTGTAGAAAGCAAGAATGGCGATCACAATATAAAGTACATTTTAATAGTATTGTAGTGAAATTGTTGTGTTGGTAATAAGATATTTTTGGTTTTAATTGTCACTATTTTCACTCTTAATATTTCCAAATGAAATTTTAACGCATGTGAAATTTTGAATTGTAATACTAACAGTGTTTTCATACACTGTTATTCATAAGAATTTGCTAAATGTAAATAATGTGACAAATACCAGGTATGCATGGCCCATTGAATTTATCTTAATTTTAGTACAGTGTATATATATATACATTGTAGATAACCTACGCGAGGTATATATACTGAGATAGATGCTTACCTTGTACCTGTATGTACCTTGAAGTGTGTGTACTGTAGATATCTAGACATGTCACCTGGTTTGTAAACATCAACGATTTGTTAGCTTCATGGAGTCTGTTTTCCTCTTGATTTCAAGCTTATTATAAGTAAAATAGGGGGGTAAATAGTTCCACCACATCGACACATAAGAATGACGTATTATTATGTGCATTCAAAGACATTACATTAGGCAACAAATTTAATAATTTATATAAAAAAATAATATAAACTTTATTTATTTTATAACAAATATGAAACAAGTAATTTCAACTTATATTAATCACACTTGTTCGCCTGGGTGTTAGTGCAGGGGTTGTTAATTTGAATTGGGAGAAAACTTGAGTACACAGAGAAAACCCAAATGATCCCATACCTTTTCACGTCCGTTCTGGGAATCAAACCCTGGCCATCTTGGTGAAAGACAAGTGTGCTATATGTCCACTGTACGATGTGCCACGCCATCACCCCTGAGGCTGATAGTATAATGATACTGAAGCAAATGGAATGATATCTTGAATCCAAACAAATAGAGACAAGTGAAACCAAATCATGTAATGCTTGATAAAGATATTGGTTAATTAAGTTGACTAGGCTTTGTATATTAAAGCTTCAAAAACTCTTATGTAGGGCAGTGGACCAGGCACAAACAGGCGATAAACAACCTACTGAATAAAGATGTTTTCATATATAGATTTTTGGCCTGTATTTTATTGACTTTTTTATTAAGTTCATCTTGTGGTCGGGTCATACAAAGTTAACATTTAACCATAGCCACATAACTCATGACTCTTACCTAGTCTTGGTAATTTTTTGAAATTATAACAAGACAATACAATTATCATAAAATGTAATGGATAAAATTTATATACAGTAATTCGTAACTGCTGCAGCTTATACCAGAAAAAATTGCTAACTGAATATTTTATGCAAACATCTTTAGACCACGCAGTCACGGGTACTAGTATAGCCTCGTCTGTCAATACCCCCATAATATAATCAAGGTTGCTAACTCAGTCCCCCTAGTAAAATTACCTGGTCCATGAAAACATGAAGCCTACCGAAAATTATACTGCATCATATATGGTTAATAATACATCAAATCAAAGAATAAAATATTTTTCCGTAGATCTAAAATACTCCCGGCGTGTTACTTTGAATGGTTATGACAAAATCATATTTTTTCTGGAACCAGCTAGTACCTGTGGACCACTAGCTGTAGCAAAGACTTAACTGTCAACACTTTGTTCTGTACATTTTAACCTAAATCATTGTCTTCTTGAGTAAATATATGACGATACTCCTGAAGGTGATCGAGACAGCTATTAAGACTATAAAATTATTCACTGTGTTATAAAGATCTATTGAGAACCTGTAATAATCCTATAAAATGATGGTCATACATGATCTAGACTGATTCAGTCATTTCACAGTCTGGGTAATTATTCGGCATGTTATCAGGGTCATGGTTAAGTTCTTAACTCCCAGTTAGACTGGCTCTGTTTGGCAAAAATTTAAGACTATTACAACTCTAATTTCTATTAATGTGTGTACATCCAAATTTTAAGGTGCTTTAATTTAATGTCATGCTTTTGAATTATTTTGATAAAATTTTGAAAAGTTGGACTGATAGTGATAATAATACAAATTATTGTGTAGTCAACTCAAGGATGTTTAACAGGCTACTTCATACTCAGGATATTGATGTTGTATAAATAAACTTGTGTAGAGAAAACAATTTATTTGGTGTTTAACATGATCAGCTCAAAAGTATTCAAATTAATATTTTGGTTTTACAACAAATATAAGTGTGATTAATGTAGAAACAAAACATATATCATGCATAAGCAGTGATAAATCTACATGCGAGTCCCGAGTCCTGTATTCATAGAATTTTGATGGGACTCACAGAATTTCTGGAAATAGTTAAATTTAACATTGCGGGACTCATTGTTTTAAGCAATACAGTTGAAAAGGACTCATTAAAATAAATTGTAGATGGATCACTGTCATATTAAGTCACTGTGACTGCAGGTATAAGGTGAAAAGTCACAGTTCAAATCATTGGATAAATTGGTAAATTGACTTTTGTATGTAAGAGCTTGTCATGCATATATTAGCTGCCAGCTGATGACCAAGCTCATGTACAGGTGTATAACTGTGTGATAGCTAGGGTTAACTATATTGTATTGTAATCAGTACCAGTCAACTGACCATTATCTGGTCCCACAAGATTCTTCACTTCAAGTCCTCTACAGATGAAAATTATAATCTTATCTGGTTATATATATAATCCATTTCACCAGATATTTAGAAACATGACCGAATATATTGGCAGACCTGAACTGAAAATTTCAGAAATCATACATGTATGTGATGTTTTGGATATTCCAGTGCAACGACACTTAAGTTTTCATACTATTTCCAGTAGCAAAGAGATATTTAAAACTAAATTAGTATGGCAATTTAAAAACAATTGTTAGATATTATGACCAGATATGTTTACAATCACCTCTCATTGTAGAATCAAATAAAAAATTTGGACCATTTTTTGGCTAAAAAACATAAAATAATTGTGAAATGCACTAATGATACGGTTCCTGACTTGGAGCATGTTTATTTTATAGTTAAAGTGTCAGGGTTTGACATTTTTTATGCCGAATTCTCTCCATTAATTGTCCATGGTATATTAAAATGATTCACTATATCACGTGGTCAACAACAATGGATACTAATCGCAGAGTCGAATACGGCGGAGAAACAAAATTTTACGGATCACCCATCGGATTGGGGAATCAGTAAAAAAAGAAATCAGAGTATGTGTTTAATTAATGAATATGATAAATTGCCATATTCAATACAACATTAGCAGATTACGATAGTTTGTTGTTTTTTTGGAAAGGGGGGGCGTACGCCCATTACGCCCTCACCTGGACCTGCCCCTGCCTCTGTTAGCTAACATCCTTGATCTTGCAGTCGTTTCTACTAAATAGTTAAGTTACACCCTGGGCTATAGATTTTATGGGTTGTATATATAATAAAGTGAACATTTTCAATTAAAGTTATATATATAATATACCATTACAGCTGGTTAGGGTTGGGGTTGAAATTTTATGATCAATCATTGGCTATATACCTTCAGTGAAAACGATTTTCATTTAATAATCCTTATAAAGAAATAAATCTTGAAATCCTCCGTGCTAATTTTAATATAGTCCTATATGTGGCAATAAATTGGGTAAAAGTAAAGGTTTACATCAGTGACAATGTCAACACAGCAACAAAATACATATCAGGAGACTTGCTTTACTATTGTTTGAACTTGTAACTGCAGGAAGATAGGCATGAAATCATGAATCACTCTAATGCTACAGAAAACATCCATAATATCTACACATATTTGTTCTGACTAAATTGATCATGAATTCTGTAGTTAATTAATCTTTTTTGATTTTGACCAATAGTACGTATCAAAGTTGATTACTCAGGCTGCACTGTCATATACTTGTGATTTTTTAGAAAGTTTGACTATGGGCTAGTACAGTAATCTTATACACAGTATATAACAAGGCGTGCAAGTCCTGTTGTTACAGTGGTCTGTATGCATATGGGAAGTAATATTTAAAATTCAATTTAGAATATATATTTAACCTTAAAAAATGTTCTTGAGATAAAGACTAGCCTTCAGCAGTGTACCATATATATGTCTTGAGGAATGTTAAAGACACATTCAACATCAGATATTGTCAAACGTGTGTATTTTGTATTTCCTTTTTTTTTGTCACGACACAATGTGTACTGTTATACGCGATTGCATTTTAATTAGTTGCACCTACTTCAGTACGTGTATACGGTATTTCCTGCTTCAGTGAATATAAGCTTATAGCTGGTTACAGTCAATCTGTAGATAAAGTAACTTCCTGCATCAAGTGCAAAATATTTCATATGTATAGCTGTACATATATATATACACGAAGCTATTCACAAAGTTTCAAACAAGGCGTATAACAACTAAAACAGTATATTATCTTAAAGATTTGATCTTTGATGCAAATGGACATGAAAAAAATGAATGAGGTGTGCTGTCTGCATGACCTTAATGAAAACACAGTATTTACTGGGTGACAATTTAAGTTAAGAATTTTTCAACAGCTTGTTTCACTAGCATTGCCAGATTGCTTTATTTCACTGGGTCACACGAAAAAAGTGAGATAACATCATTATTGTTTACACAAGACGGATTGCACTTTGAGTTTATATTCTTTCGATCTAAGAGTAATTCATACCATACAATTAAAAAAATACTAATTTTATAAATCTTCAGTAATTACCTTTAGTAATTATGATATCGAGTCTGAGGCCCTGAAATCATGAAACGATATTAAGTAAAAAAAAATCTTCAGTTTTGACTTACAAATATGAACAATCATAAATAACGCCATGAAAAGTAGTGTCATACGTGATTTGCTAAGAAAAACTTTAAGTTTAAGATTTTTTCATGATCCCAGGGCCTTGTCTGTTCAAGCCCGAGTTTCCTCTGGCCCTGACACCAGACTTGGACATTTTGACAGATAGGTGTACATCTAGACATCTATCTGTCAAAATGTCTAAGTCTGGTGTCCGGCCAGAGGAAACTCAGGCTAGGCAACAGTATAATATAAAACACTTTTAACGAAGGAAGGATGGATACCTGGTAATGCTAAAAATAGAAGTCGCTGCATGCTGGACCATGTACATGTGAATTTGTTATGACTGATTGAATATACTATGCAATTTTTTCATCATCAGATACAACTTTTCTACTTTTACATTTCAGTTGTCAGTGCAAAAGGGTTACAGGGCAAAAAACCAGGTTTGTGGAAAATTTTATAAATATTCAGTCATGCATTTGTATTTACATTTTATGACACTCTCAAATCTACTAAATTCATATCAGCTTTAGAATTTATTTGAACTCAATGGTGTCATTTTAATTATCATATGTATATGGTAACATACATGTTTTTTAGCTACATGTGGAATTTTGATCTGTCAAGTTTCTAAGAGATTTGCACTTAACTCATAAAAAATAATTTGAAGTTAAAATTTTGTCATCATAGTTTATCTTGGGCAAAATAATAAAACCATGGAACATTGTTATATGTGAGTGTTTTATCAATTTTAAATTCTATAATTATTAATACAATGTTCAGAACTTTAGCATTTCACCTTTATTAACAGATGATAAATTTTGAATCTGAAATATACTTTTCATCTGATTTTGCTAATTTGTACAAAAAAATCTATAAACTACAGGACGACACAAATTCTCTGTGATATTTGGTGTGGGTAGTAAGAAATACCGGACATCTGTTGTTAAACATCCGGAGCCAGAATGGAACGAGGAATCTGTGATGTAAGTCAGTTCTGTACACACCATTCTCGACTTTCTAGGGTTTACGCTCACTTTCGCTGACTGCATCATAGCAAAATTGAAGGCATGCGACTAGCTATTTGATTGGTTTCAGGTGAAAATACCTGACCAATCGCTAAGGCTGATACCTGACTTTTGAAGATAACAAAGGAGCAACACCCAAATTCAAAGCTAGTCAATTTTACTGTTATGTGAGCNGGAGCAACACCCAAATTCAAAGCTAGTCAATTTTACTGTTATGTGATTAACATATTCTTTTAATGTACATCAAAGGATTCAACTAGACTTCTCGTCTTATCCACAAGGTGGTGCACACTAAGCCTTCAATTTTTGCTAAGACATATTCCAGGGGTGCAGAGAGCGAAAGTGAGCATAACCCCTGGAGTATTGAGGATGTGTAAACACATGTATCATATGTTTGGTGTAGTGTGCCTCTGGCATGTGATTAAATAAGCAGATCCAGTAACGCAGCTGTTATTTAAGGAAAATATAAATATGATCCCAGTTAAAAGGCTGCCAGATAGATGTTTGATAGTCCATGTATAATATTATTGATTAATGCATGTACTCGAAGTTTGATTCAGGATCTGGTTTTAGCAGATAAAGATTAAAATACAAACTGTTTTGTCTTGATTTCAGGGTTCTTTGTTATATTCACGGAAAGAAAATCATGAAAATCAGCACAGTATTTGCATTAAAAAAGGAATATTCATAGAATAAACCATTTAAAGCATAATTTTTTGTTTCATATTTTAGCCAAGTGAACAATATCCTAGACCAGGTATTCTTCATTGTGACGGAGAAAGAAGATGTTCTTGGTCAGGTGAACATCCCGGTCACTTCCCTTCAGGGACCGCCAGGACACAACTTAAAGTCGACCCTTCAACCCAACAAGAAGTGTTCAAATCCAAAAGGAGAATTAGTGTACCAGTGTTACGTCTCCAAGCGTCGTCCCGCGGGAATGAACTACGAGTCCAAATCTCCCACCCTCTCACATAAGTACAAGAAGGACAGACGAGGCTCCACTTTATCTAGTCTTAACAAAAAGTTCTCGCGTTCCATCCATGACCTTCTAAGCTTCGGTAAATCTAGTAATGAAGAGGAAAGTGGCCCTAAACTCAAGTCAAAACAGGGACCGAAGTTCATGAGTATCAGCGCAGGGCTTGACAACTCCGGAAAGCTCCCTGTTGTACTAAGTGTGAGCCCCAATGTGGGTCTAACCAGTGGGGGTACACGCATTACTATCGTGGGTAAGAACCTTGGGTTCAGTAAGAGTGATATTGTGGATCTGACAATTTGTGAGTCTGACTGTGTGGATTATATTGAGTATGAATCTTCCACCAAGATCCACTGTAAAACAAGATCTACTCTCCCAGGTAAGGGTGATATCATCCTCGAAACGGAGTCAGGTGGCATCGGTACTCTCCGCAATGCATTTGCTTTTGTTGATAAACTTCCAGAAAATGGTGTGAACCCATTCGACAGCCCGAACCCATTTGATGATGAGGAGAATTCTGGAGAACAAGCTAGTTTCACTATTGGGGATGGAAACCAGTCTCCGGAGATGCAAACAAAGGCAATATCCGTAAGTTGATCGGTCATCCAGGAATTCGAAGNCCACCACCACAAAAAAAAATACCTATATATATATATCCTAGGATGAGATGATCAGGTATTATCTCCTATAGCAACGAAAGTTTGAGTGGATAAAGCATTCAGCCTGTATGAATGTACGTATGTTACGTATACACTCTTTGTCATCGCTCTAGCAACTTCATTTCTCAACGGAATTTCATGAAACTTCATACAAGTGTTTGGTATGGCAATGCCTTTAACAAGCTCGTATTTCGGATTTCTACGTTGAAGGTCAAGGTCACTTACTATTTTTAGAAAAAACTTTGACATTGCTCTACCGTTTTCATTCCTAGCTAGTAATACTACAGTAAATTAAAGGTCAAGGTTACCTTTACTATTTTTAGAAAATATTTGTCATCGCTGTATCAGCTTCATTCCTCAACAGAATGAAAACCTATAATCCATCGAAGAATGCAGGCACTAGAGCAGATATTGATATTACATTGATTTTTCTATTGGTTTCCTCATCATATGTCACACAATGTGTGAGTGCGAGGGGATTTGTGTCACTTGTGTGACTTGTTTTCCTATGGATGCTGCATTGCAAATCAGCAAATGTATACTTTCATACATCCAATGATGATTTATCGTTGTTTCTGTATGTATTGGTCTACTCACAGGTACCAGTGCCATCACACAAAGGAAACAGCTCTCACAGTAAGTCTAGTATGTCTCCACCGACCAAGAAACACTTCATGAAACACCTGAGGAGGGCAAGCGAGGGACACGTGCTGCAGCAGTTAAAAGGGGGACCAGGTAATATAAGTCAAGCTTTTCTGTTCACTGAACAGTTTAATGATGGACAAAGTAGGTCAAGTGTTCCTTTTTACTGATCAATCAAACATGGACAGTTCAGGTCATGTATTAATGGGCACATATATATTTATAAGATTTACTGAGCAGTCAAAAGGGGGACAGAGTGACTATTTGATTCAAAAAGTTTAATTGCCTAGCACATTGATATCTTCTACCATGTCAGATGTAAAAGAAAAAATGTTTGCCTGACTAACCAGTAGTAAGGGTTGTTCTCTTAAGTGGACACTACCAGGACAAGGTAGTCGATGGATGTATCCTAGTGGACACTACCAGGACAAAGTAGTCGATTGATGTATCCTTATTCTCACTAGCTGATAAATGTACCAGGCAGCATGACCTGGACAAGAGGGGCAGATTTTGTAACATTGACTGTGTCACCAACGTATATATTATTGGGGAGTATGCATGGTTCCTAATTGCTTATTAACTCAAGATCATTCACCCCTGAAATTTCATAATGGACTATTCTAACCTTTGAACTGGAAGAGTTCAAATGTGTTTTCAGGGGTGATAAGTTAAGCCAAGGTTGTTGATAAAATAAAATAAATAATTGTATTATAATGACATGTAGAATACTTTTAATAGGATTTAAAAGGTTATTACTCATCATATTATATAGGCATTGCTGCCTCTTATATATCTACATTAATATAATGTTAAATACATGGTGCCGTGGTAAACATAGCATTTAGTCTATTAATAAGAGGCTGTGTGGTCATAATTTCCAGTCATGCAAGATCTTTCAAGAATTTGTCAAAGTTTTTCACAAATTAAATACTGTACAAGATAAAATAACACCTTGAAGGAGACTTTTCCAGACATCAATTATTCTTTGAAAAAATATTTGTTTGAGGTTTTTTATTTGACTTTTTCCATGAATGTATAGCCCATTCATAAACTTTAGTACGGGTTATACTACTACATATAATTATATGTATATCTCTAGCTCTGGTCAAGCTCTCATAAACTGGAATTGAAGCCTCCGCCTCGAGAGTGTGCAGTCACTCTACCGAATGATCTTAAATACAGGGAGTAGCTTTGTAGATCGTCTTTCAACATTTTCTATCCTTTCAATGTACTTAATTTTGTATGGAATCCAATCTCTTGCAGCGTACTCTTAATGAAATCAAAACCAACACTTTAATAAAAACATATTTTGTGTAATAATTTTGTTCAAATATGATATACAGATGGGCCCCTTATGACATCTATGATGCCGTTTGATATTAAAAATGTGTACTTCTAGTAAAAACCTAAACCTATTATCTGATAGCTGTTAAAAAAATATGTGGTGCNAAAAATGTGCCTGTTCCCTGGTGCTAATATAAGTTGTTCTTGAGATAATTTTTCTAGTGTACTTCTATTAAAAATCTAAACCTATTATCTGATAGCTGTTAAAAAAAATTGTGGTGCCCAAGTGGTTAAGGTGTCTGACATTCTGCTACCACTAACCCTCCACCACTGGGTCATGGGTTAGAGACCTACCTTGGTTAGTCGCCAGGTGCTGGACGTAGGTCGGTGGTTTTTCTAAGGGAACTCTGGCTTTCCTTCACCACCAAAACCTGGCATGTCCTTAATTGACCATAGCTGTTAATGGAACGTAAAACCAAACAAACCAAACAAAAATATGCAAAATCATTGGTGTACGGTTCCAGATTGCATGACTGACAATTGAATACTACCAGGTAGACAGTACCGGGTTGATATCTCTTTCATGGAGGATGTGAAATTTCAGCCGTTTTGTCCAAATTAACTTTTCTTACACTTGGACTAAGTTGGCTTATATTAAATTATTACTAATTCATCTTCATACCAGATGCCCCCCCCAAATGTACCAAGTGACTTCCAAATCAGGTGGGGGTTTACCTGAAACTTGTATCTCAGAAATGACGTGTTGTATGAGAATACACATATTGACTTAAATCTAAATGATGGTGTCTATTACAGTGGCAGCCAACCCACCAGCCTCGCCGACACCCAATAAGTTTGAGAAGTTACAGCTACAGGTCCTGGAACTGAAGAAAGATAATCTAGGTATACTTAACTCTTTTACAGTTGTAATATTGTAAAAAAAAAAAACATAGTAAAAATTAAAGCAAAACAAAACTAATGAAGGTTAATTTCAATACAATTTTAAACTAACAATACATAGTGAAATTATTTTTTTTGTTATTTTTTTATTGCAGCTTTGAAACAGGATAACAAAGATATGAAAGCATATATTGACAAGCTTGTTGCCAAGGTGATACAGCATTGCCCCGATGCCCTCGAGTCTGACCAGATGCAGAACAGGTGGAAATAATCCTACGCGGAAAGTTCAAAGGATACGAAAAATTACATCTAGCCGTCGAAGTTTGAACAACAGTAGCATGGATATCCAGCAGGATCATACATATATATTTCTATTTTCTCTTCTGCAGATTTTAAACGAATAAATGGAAATACATAAGTTTTGATAAAAGATGTCTTCAGAATATGAACTCAACCCACCAATTTGATTTGATAGCACAGAGTTTGAGGCACTGATTATGTATTTTGACAGATATTCCTGTTCGCTTGTGTCTTATATTAGAAGGAACAATTTTTTTATTTATTTTTTTTCAATTAAGAAAAGTAGTGTTTTTTATAAATTTATCTTAAAGTTTATAGTCTCAGTCACTTGGTTTCTAAAATAATATATCTAAAATATGTCATTTCAGTAAAATTAATTGATACATCATAGTTTTTCGTACTTTTATGCATCCAGATTTAAGGTTCCACTATGCATGCAGGCTTCAGTTTCATGAAAATACTAACTTTTAACTTCAGTTCTGCTTTCCAATTGAATAATTTATGTTATTAGGAATCTCCTATTAAACGATAGATATCCTTGTCGGGATATTTTATATTCTGAAAGAAATACTTTATCTATGCAAACACACAGCGTCTTTGCTGAAAAAGTGCATTATATAGAGAATATGGTAGATTTTCTATTTTGATACATTAGTGTGTACTTTTGAGGGAATGGAATTGATTTTAAATCATTCTTTGATTCCATTGATCAGGTATGAGTGACTACATTATATGAAGTTTTAGTTATATACATGTACATGTTTTAGGTACCTTGATATTACGTATTGATCTTATATCTAATTGCTTTGAGCCAGGAAATAAATCCCTTCTATCTCCATTGAATGCATGCATATCTTCTGTGATATTAAGCGATAGCCATCTGATAAAAAAAACACATCAGGTTCATTTAGGAGAATTTTTAGTTCTGGTTTTCATTTTCCAATAAATCAGTTGATTATAGTTTTCAATTGATGTACTGTACCGGACACAGTCTGTCAGTATTTTTGAAAATATACAGGTGATAGAATGTTTCTATTAATTTGTCCTTAACGATATTATTTTCAAAAAGAGTTCTATACAAAGAGATCTCTCAATATTGATTACAAATGTTAATTTGGACTTTGGTTTTAAATTACTTATTGATGGCATTTGAAACGTACAGAAGCGAAAAAAAAATAATAGCAGAAAGGCAGTTTTAAATTATCAGATGACAACTATCAAGAGGAAAGGGGAAATCATTCTTATGTTCAGTTTGATGAGCCCCTATATATACGTATAGAATCATTAAATCAGTTCATTAAAAGAAAATATTTATACTCAAGAGTGTCCCAGATATGATCGCATAATGTAGGTTAGATATTTTCATTTTAGAATTATAGATAGTGAAGATACTAAGATCTAAGTCACTTCTAACCGACTCCAGAAGGAAATTCCTAAGCTCACATAATAAAGCACTGGAGATCTGGGTTCAACTCTTGAAAAAGTAATTACTTTAATTAAAAGTATGTATAAGGATTACAACAAAATTAGCATTTTTATTTAGAGTTTAAAGTAATCTGTTGCAGTTAAAATTAATGATCTCGGATATTCTAAACCTGTTACAATTATCAGCAAAGAAGGTATCTGAAAATATTTTTGAGTGCTTTGTAAAAGTGGGCATTTTACTTTGTTGTTGGTTTTGATACCTACAGCATTTGAAATTAAAAACAGATCTGTGATGACAACGATATTATTGTTAAACATGACATTCGTTTTGTAAATATCTGTTAATATTTGTTTATCTAGATAACTGATATTTAATCTGCTAATTATAAAAGGACTGTTACATTAGATTAGAGTATATTGCTTTATAAAAATGGAGATATTTGCAAAATTGACAGTTACATATTGACTGCTGACCATTGTCTGAAATAATTTATTACAATTACCTTGATAATAAGTTGTATACATAAACTGGGTAGTATATATTTGATACAACAAAGTGAATGTAGGAAAATTGTTTTGATGAAAGTTGATGTAAATTACATGTACATGTACTCGACAAAGGTAATATCTGTGAGTATTTAATACTATCTTTGTATGCATACTGGGGCCAGTTTGTTTATTCAGATCAACCGGTTTATCAATATTTGAAATGTAATATTTTGGGGTTAAAAAAATTAAAGGATTTGCGAATGTTAATATATATACATACCTTAAAAGTCTTTCCCAAGGTGCTAAAAAAACCCATCAAATAACTAGGTCCATCCCTATTTTATAAACAGACAACTCTGGTCCAACCGTTTAAAGAATGCGATAAACAAAATCAGACCTAGTATGTTCCAAAGATATTTGCCAAAATTTGCAAAGTATTGTGATAAAATTCCTATTAGTAAATAGTAATTATAGGATACGGTTAAAGAACAATGAAAAATGATACGTCTTTTAAAAAAAATCCTGAAGATACTTTGACCTCTGTTTCAAAACTCGAGGTGATGATACATGAATGTGTTTCATTGGACAGAGTTTATATTTTTGCACTTGGATGTTGATCACTAAATATTCAGTATGTGTGTACTCACCGAATCACGAATCTAGCCTTTTGATCTTCTGAACTGACCGTACAATGTATTCATGATATTGTTTTTAATTTAAGAGTTTTCTTGTAGTCTGGTTTTTGGGGTATGTTGTTTAATTTATATTATTGTAAAATGAAAATCTCTTTTTTTTGTTCCAAATGAAAGTGTAAAATTGGTTTTGTTAATTATTACCTTTAAAAATCATGTAATCTATCCAAATGTAATTCTACAATGGAATCTTGTTTACTCAGCCTTTGTTTATCTGGAAAATTCATTATCTGCACGCATAAACATTACCATAGTATGTGACCCTTCAAATTCCATGCAGTCATGATCAATGATAGTAAAAATGTGCCACTCAGGTCAAAACTTTGTTTTTCGTGGAAATGTGTCCGGATTAAACAAGATTCCATTGTATATCATAAGTTACCAATATGATAATTAAAAGTAATATTGGAAATGGAAACATTGAATCTTTAGAATATTTAATGTTTTGTGTAGACTTCAGTGTTGAAATTGACTTTACCTAGTGCAATGACTTTACTATTAAAGAGTTACATATTACTGTATATATACATTTTGTTATATCAAGATCACATACATTTTTTCGGTACCAATTTGTAAAGGATTATTAATACCCGGTATATGATGTTATTTGGTTTAAGCCGTTGGTACATATATTTGTCATCTTCAACATATCCTCCCAACTATTAATCGTAGTGCTTTACATTAATGTTTGAATCGTTATCTTAAATGCCTATTTATTAACATAGTATATATGGCTTTACATCGTCTTAAGACTTCCATGAGAGGCTTTACATATCCGTTTATCATGATTTGATTTTAGTAAAAGATCTCAATGTATTACGGTAATGATGTTGATCTGAAATTGACACAGAACATGATTTGATCTGTTATTAGTATTTATGTTAAATTGCTTTCTCTGACGTGAACAAATGATCTGAAAACATGAATATTTGAATATCCGACGACCATTCACAATGTCCCAGGTTTCCCATTTTTTCCACAAAATTATTCTGTCCTATTTGCATACGATAGATCTGAATGGTATTGATATTCTGTGACAAGAAATTTCTAGTTTGATAGTAGAGCGTGACATATGTAGGCGTCCATCATAAAGTTTGTTAGGTTCTTGTTCAACTCCTGTTCAGGCCTTTTGCATTAAATGATTTTCTACTTTTCTTATTACAAACGTAGTGTTATTTACCGTTCATGAGAAATATATTTACATTTACCTGTTAAATTTTTACCTTGTTATTTGAGAAGAGGAGTCTGAAGTGACAATTTTGATTTTTGTTTATGTTACTGGATACCAGGCAAATATCATTGCCTGGGGTTTAAAAATTGTCCTGGCTATGTGAGAAAGAAACTAAAAAGTATCCATACGATTTAACTAAAGGAAAAAATATGATGTTCCATATTTCAAATCTACAGGTTTACCTTTTTTGTATTTCCTTACGAAGAAATACAATGTTTTATTAAAGATTTTGTTTTGAAGTGAGAGGATTTGTATCATATTCTGATCTGGTTTTGAATTTCGATGTTCTTGATAATGTTGCAGATGAAAATTAACTGTTGCGGTGGAGTGATAATATTTTTTTAATGGATTTTGAACATCACCTGTTAATTGTGGCTATTACTTGTTAATTTTATTTGTTAGTATAATGCTATCTGTGTTTGGGTAATATCTGATAGCAATATTTGTTACAAAAAAATGTTTTTGTTACAACAATTATTGATTTAATACTGTAAGAAAAATATCATTGTCATATAAAAAAAAAATGGTTGAATGGTCAGAATATTTTTAAGATATAATTGTTTTAGGGACCAATATGGTCACCTTGTGCCATTTCCAATGATGGGCTGGTAAGAATATAGTTGCAGGTCCTGGGACTCGTTATGTGCATATGCAGATTTAATCCTGAGCGATGACCCCTTACCTATTCAAAACTGGAAACATTGCAATCTGGTCAGGTATTGCAGCTTCAATCTGGCATCGCAATGGGGCAATGGTTCAATGAACTACATTAAGTGTCTTGCTGACAGGTTTGAGCTTTGTATATAGTAGTAATAGAAACAACAATCTGTGATATGTATAATTGGTACTCAGAAATTTGTTTTGAAGAAATGAATGATGAAATAATACCCGATACAAATAATATTATATGCATGAATTGAAATCAATATTTGTACAGAAATGCCTCCATGAATCGATTGATAATACACTTTAAAATGTTTGGTATAAGGGACCATACAAAGTACAGTTTATGTTACCATGCCCTCCGCCATGTTTCTGTAGTTGATACGTATACTAAGAAGAAAATAAATGCCTGAAGAAGCAAGATTGTACAATCAGACCTTGTGAGATTGATGGTGCGGGTAATTACCTAGGTATTTTGAAACCCATACAACTCAAAACGTGATAATTTATGCAAATGCCAGTTAACTGGAACACAAGTGACCCTGTCCTGACCATGTTGTCATATAACTGGAACTTGTCTTACTAACAGAATCCACAGAATCCATGCTTAAGCATGAGAGCGGTGTCATGAATACAGGCTCTGGTGTTACCCCCAATCAATAACAAACAACTGTGAGGGCCTCATTTGGACTAGCCAATAAAGAGTTAAGGTTTCAACTGTTGTTTTAATCAGTTATCTCATAAAGTGGCCTTATTCCTGTACAACTTATGAAGACTATGCCAATTTCACTAGACCAGTATATATAGATATAGATTAAAGCTATTGTGATTCACTAAATCTGATTGCCTTAAATCTCTGACACAAGTTGAATATATATTTAGACTAGAGACTTGCAACTTGGGTGCTTGGTCATGATCAGGGGAGATAATTGTTTTCTCCAGTTCTATTTTGTTATAGATACATACTGCTGCTGTGTATTTAAATGGGCCCTATTCTCTTCATGTTGTCACAGTGGGGTACCCGGACCCATCTACTCGCTTGTTACAATCTATTTACTTGGCTGGACAGAGGGAACGTCATTTATCTGTAGTGCCTGGTTGGATTCATAGTGGAAACTCGGTCACTTGGAAAAAGTTATCAGCTACCATTTGCCTAGAACGAATATTCATACCCTGCCTACTTTCCGCTCCGGCAGGACGACGACCATCTATCAGAAATCGTGTGTCCGTCGTCCAGAGCTACGTTATCGCAGCTACCATTTGCCATGTTGCCCCAAAGCTTAGCTTGCCAACATGTGCTTTTGTTTACAATATTTGATTTACATGTTCATTGTTTTCTAGTATTTGAACTGAGTGCACATTAGACAGGGTCCTTTTTAGATTAAACCAGGTGTTTTTTTTAACAAAATTTGATTTGCAAAATTAAAAAAGAAGTAGGGCTGTTATAATTCACAAACTTTTAATGGGAATTGGATCCTTGGGAGTTAATGGGGTCATTGTTTGTTTGCTTAAAAGGGATGTTGAAATGTCAACAATGAAACATTGCATGCAATAAGATTTACTGTGGCACATAATAATTTGTATGAACAAAGTTCTGATGCAAAATGGTATAGGTGCCGACCATCAATTTGCAAGATCATGTTTTGTAGTTTAATTTCTACAACTACACAAACTTTCATCGTATCTTTAGGCTTTACATTAATGAAGTTTTTATTTTTACTAGTCAAAAGTAGATTCTGAATTGACTTTGCAAGAAGATAAATTAATATAATTTATGTAAATGTTCATGTTAAACCACACAATTGAAGACATGCATAGATGTTTCCAATATTGTAATGTCTTGCAGTTTATTACATCTATATGGAATCTGTGATGATCGAACTGACATGAGTATGCAAGATAAATGTTCGTAAAAAAGGTAAGATATAGGCATATTAGATTTGGCTATGGTTTCTGCATTTTCTTCACCTTTGTATAAAAAAGCCGTCCCCCACCCTTTAATCAGAAAGAAAGACTTAAAATATCTTCTTCTTTTTTTACGTTTTAAATACTAGATAATTTATGTTTTCAAATCTCGTTACATATCCTATTAATGTACTAACTGTACTAATATATCCAAGCTTGTCACAAACTTTGTGCATATTCAACTATATGATATAATAGGAATTTGTGAATGTTTGCAAAAGAAGGACAGGGAAAACCGATTTTATTAGGGGTGGTCCCTAAGAAAATCAGATTTTTGGTTATACAGTTGCTACATAAGTAAAATTACACTGAATATCCGGAGTAAATATGCACCATTGTAAGGTGTCAAGTGTGCCTTCACCTTCAGTCATTCTAAAAATTATATCCAATTTTGAATAAAATGCAGTTTCCTCTTGAAAATTTATTAATTTTCCTCATATTTTGGTTACAAATCATTCTTTTCATTTTTTGTCTTTTTTTTTAAATTCTAAAACAATTTTTTATTTCTCAAGCAATTAAAAATTAGGAAAAGTATAATTGTCAGAGAGAAAATTTGACATTTAAATGAAATCAACTCTACCTTTTGTAAAATGTATTTTAGATGCATTTCTGATATTTTTATAGATTTGAAAATGTGAAAGTCATCCTGTAATCAAAATATCTTGATAAGAAAAATCAAATTACTCTGTGTTGATTAATCAATATATAATTCTATCATGTTGACCTAATGTTTGGAGAACTTTAAACCCTAATCAAGATCAGAAGTAGGTGTTTTTTTAAGGAGAAGGATTTTTGAAGCTAGATCATATGTAATACATCATTTTCATTGACATATTTGCAATCATGATTTATATTATTCCAGCCACTTGAGGTAATTATTTAGGATATAATTGATAAAAGTCTGATTTTTATTTTTTTAATGTTTACACAATGTCATAATGGGTCACTTTCTGAAGATGACCGGTAGTATTTGTAATTCTAGAAGGAATTTCCAAGCATATTGAGGCACATCATCAGTCATGAAGTCAGTGTCTTAGTTACATAGTAAAAATGGTAACTACTTCAAAAAAGAAAATTGTTTTTCTTTAATTATAACAGTTTATTCTATAATAATTTTACATATTGAACCTGTCTAGTCTGACATCTGTGTATTGAGACACCCTGTAATCAGTATTGTATATATATATATATACAACATAAGGGTGTAATACCATTTCTTAACTCATTCCCCCCTGAAATTTCATAATGAACTATTCCAACCCTTGAATTGGAGCAGTTCAAATGTGTCATCTGGGATGAATGAGTTTTAATGTCTAACTTTAAAAATTAAGACCTGTGCATTCCGACATCCTGTCTAATCTGATCAACATGTTATATACCACAGGTACTTGGATAAGACAGGTTTCAATATCACTGTTCATAATACAAATAGGTCATAAAATTATCATAAATTAAAAATTCACAGAATATTAATATTCATCAACTCGCATCACCCCTGAAATCTCATAATGAACTATTCCAACTTTTGAATTGGAAGAGGTCACGTATATTCAGGGGTAAGTTAATTCAAGTAGGCATGGTTGAGTGAGAGGGAATGGGGTTTCGATGAGAGCTTTTTCAAACATACATATAGCAATTATGTTCATTTTTAACAATGTTATAAAACAAATTGTGCTTGATGGACAAGTGTGAGGTGTACAATCAACTTGTTACTGCATCATACATTATATGTAATATTCACATATCAAGCTTCTGCTTCACCTGTACTTCGATGGACAGATCTGTTACACGTTTTTGTTTCGTGGTGTGTAAAATTTTCTTGCTATTTCATGATGTTCACACTGCAGTGTTACCATGTGTTATGATTATTGTATAGGGTTATCAATAAAATTGTTTTCAGAGATACTGAAGATTTGTTGATTTTTTTGCGAGAAATCCGGTGATAGCGCTATGAAGCCTTTTCAAAATTAAATTATTATTAATGATTACAAGCTCAAGTATGAAAACATGTAAGCAAGAAATCTTCCAAAATTATTTAGCTTTTCAATATTTATGCCTATTTTGGTTTTGGGGTTGACAACCACTGAGATCAAAGTTTGGAAAATTGTGCCAAAATGTCATAAAAAGATATCTATGATATTCATCATATTGTACCAAAATTTGGATAGACATCTGAATTTTCAAGGTGATCTCGTGATAAACATACTTTTAAATACAAAGACAAAATGACAATACTTCAGTGATAGATTTTTTACTTTTAATAATAATCAAAACAATTGTCAACATGATTTCAATGAATATTAAAGAAAATTGAGGACAATGAAATTAAGATGTACTTTACTTTCCATCTGAACAAAGTGCAAGGAACTTTGTGAATGATGAATATTGCTAATAATAATACATGTCTGATATACATGCAATGTGGGTAAATTTTCTACATAAACTGCTGTATAATACTGGGAAAACTTTGCCCTTCACTTGTATAATCCATAATCGCCCACTCTTAGTTTTTGCCTTTCCCATTTGATAAGTTTACTATCATTATTATGTTTTGTTACTACTGCTCGCTGTAATGATAACTTCGCCCTCATAACAAAGGGTGAAAAATAAACTGCGGTGGAAAATTTCTTGGTACACAGTATATCAAATTTTGGTGAAAATTAATAATCAAAAGGTTTCCTTTTCTAGCTGACAAAAATCGGAACTTTGTATTTTTGATGGAACTCTTGAAATAAGATATAACCCATTAATCAAAATATAATTATCTTGACATGCAATAGCCATGAGAGGCATGGCCCCCAAGCTAAAATCCTAATAAATTTCGACAATTTGTACGAACCAGGTGGCAACTAAAAGGCCTACAAGCTAGCTAGGTGGACACTTTGCTTGAGCAGGCTCATTTGTTTGCTTTTTCTAGTAGCCTTGTGTTTACGACACATTTCTATTTCAACTATTTATAGACTTTCTTTGTTGAACTACAATTATTTATGGCATTTGGGACATATGTATTCATCAAAATCTTTCTCGGTATATCAGAAACACATTAAAAATTACTTTCAGCTTGAAGATAAATATAGAAATGTTGCTTTAAGATATCAGGACACAGTGATCAATCTGCAATTTATTTTCATGGGTCCTTTTCAACTGTATTGCTAAAAACAATGGGTGCCACAATGTTAAATTTAAGTATTTCCAGAAATGCTACGAGTCCCATCAAATTCTAGGACTCGGGACTCAAATGTAGATTAATCACTGATGTCGGCATACATGGTATATACTTAGTCCATACCGGTTTCTGAGAACTAAGGAAACTACAGTAGAAATGGCCTGATCCTAAGTATAAAGGGCATGTCTTGGATACACATGGACAATGGATCATATTGCACAACACACCTACATATATAATTATGAACTTCATTATGAATTCATTTTTATAGAAAAATAAGATTTTTTTCATGAGGTGTTTTTCCCAGATTCCAGATTTGTGAAAACCATGGTCATCACATCATAAATGCAAATAAACATGATATTTAACCCAAGATTTTACCCCAGGGGATAGATTTTTTTCTTAAAACCTGTCTTAAAACAAATATCACCTACTCTGTAACAATAATACTCACTTTTAGCATAACTTCATCTGGTGGATTTTTCAGTGTTGAGCACACAAAAAAAACTACCTGGTACATGAAAATTAAAGCTAGCTTTTGTTGTGTATACATATATTTTTAAAAGGCTAAAACTGCACCCTCAAACGAAATGCAATTTTTTCTTGACAAATTATGAAGGGCCACATAGTACACTTTATGATGTAATATTACAGGAGTTATTCATTGTTTAAAAATATCACCACCGTACACTACTGTACACTGCTACCTAAATGATTATAACAATACATTCAAAGAAAATGATAAGCATGCAAGTTCCTGTACCCACTGACTTTCAACTAATTATATGTATAAGCAGCTCTCAAGTCTGACATGTCCTTACGCAGGTTTTGGTCCAACACATTTGCAAAAGAGCATTGTTCCTTGCTATTCCTTGGATTACCAGAAATTTCATCATAATGTCATGTATACATCTTGGGGTAATGAAAAATTAGCCCAGGTACATTGTACACATCATATTCAAATTACGAAGATTTTCATCCAATTTCACACAAATCAAAGTCTGGTAAAGGCAATCGCCAGAAATTGTAGCAAGTAAATTCACATTTTTCAGTTTGACATTCAGCTAAATGTTCATTGCTTGAAACCATCTCAATCTCTGAAGCATCACCATCCACTTTGTATGGGACTGCTGAGCCAATCTCCTCCTAAAGTAAAAGAAGACGAATTTGTTTAAAAACTAGAACAGGTTTAGAAAACAATACACCTAAACAATCAATATTTCATCAGTATAAGCATCTAGTATCATATATCAGATGTACAATACAGATGAAAAGATACATTACTGATAACTATAAGTCACTATTTAAAGTAAAGCTTATGAGCCATTTGATAATTTGCCATTAAGTTATTAGGAAGGCGAAGGTGAAAGTAAGAATGGACAGAATGTGGAAGGCAGGGAAAGCGATTGAACAGGCAGAATCAAGGCTCCAACATAGTGATATCATCGGAACAGTGGCATCTGGTAGACAGGGACTGGGTACAACATCTAGAGACAGCTGGAAAGGTGCAAAAGGGAAAAGGAGCAGAGAGATGGTTCAGAAAGAATTAAGATCAATGGAGAAGAAAGATAGGCAATCAAGGGCAGTTGCAGTGAGAAAGCCAGACAGCTGGATGTCCTGGGAGGGAGCTAGAAAGCAGATTTTAAAACGGAGAGACATTTGGTCCATGGAAACAGTGACGTTAAGGATTAGGCTGAGTGCAGAGTATGATGTCTTATCCAGCCCAACAAATCTGCAAAACATGGGCACTTACTGATGACCAAACGTGCAAACTTTGTGGAAGAAACAGTAATCTCAAACATGTGCTTGCATCTTGTCAAGCGGCTTTTGGAGATGGTCGATCCACTGTCCTGGAAATCATTGCAGATTCCTTTGAAAGAAAGGGAGGTTATTGTATTTGTTTAGGCAGAGATCGGTGTCACAACTTTGCGTCCTGACTTTGGTCATCTGGTAACGGACAACAATGCAGGTCGTAATCCTGGAGCTGGCTATACCATGGGAGGAAAGAGGGACCTCATGAAAGGAAGATGGCCAAATATAAAGATCTGGTCAGGATCTAACACGAAAAGGGCTGGCAGACATCTCATAGGTATCTCATAGGTAAGACATCAATGGAAAGCCTGTGGCTTGTAGTGATGTTATTAATCGGCATTTCATTTATTGATTGGTTGATGATGGAGTGCGCGAAGAATGGCATACAATGTATGAAATTAAATGTATCTTAGACGTCTAATTGTCGCAATAGTATTAATTTATATTTACACATCGTAGATTAAAACGACGGATAAAATTTGTGTGCATGATCTTTCCAGTGCACGTTTAACCTATTTTTAAAAATTTCAAACTTTTGGCATTAACCACTTCAGCTGATAAATTGTTCCAATTTGTGACTACACGATTGAGCGGCATTGTTTCTTAAATAGCTTTAGCTGGTGACCACTAGTTTATACTATGTGGACATGTTGCATGCATATACACATATGCTATACTCAATACTGTCTGATATGGGTCACAGCACACATAAACATGTATGTTTATGTGTGCTGTGACCCATATTAGTATAGCATATGTGTATATTAGACATTTGTAACATGCTTATGTGTTCTGTGACTCAAATCAGTATAGCATTTGTGTATTTTAGACATTTGTAGCGAACACATGTGGTGCATGACTGGCTTGCAGAGGGTTTGTGGGGCACTCGTTATGGAGAGCAATCAATGGAAGTAAACTGATAACCTTTATTGACGTTTTTCTTCTCTTTGCTTCCGCTTCACATGCCACGTCCTTGTCAACCATCATCTCGGTGTCATGTTTTCGTTTGTTTGTGGTCGACTTTTGCACGTGGTATTGTTTACGTTTCAAAATTGAGTCTGACAAAGGTTTCTCAAAAATATTAATTTCTTCATTGCGTGGAATTTTGCAGAACGGCTCCCCTTCTGAACCGAGTGACTGGATATTGTGCTTCATTCTGAAGTACTGGCACAAACGATATGGAATGTGTACATCAGTCTTAGTCACAAAACATCCTTTTCAAATGCAAGGCGGGCTTCCATCATTTCCATATGTCGTGAAGACGCTTCTGAACATTATGATTTTTAGGTGTGTTCAGTTCAAACGTCTATCGGACTAGGACCTAGTATTAATACGTACTATATAAAACGTGTCCCGTCCCGTCATTTATTTCCGGTAATAATATTACATTAGCAAACACATCTTTCACTGCAAGCAGTAAAGTCAGGCGAGTAACTGCCTTAACGCAGGTGAATACAGCATTTTTTTCAACAATAGAAAGCCTGCAATTACATATGTAGCGTAGGCCTACTGAATGCACGGAATTAGACTAAGTCCGTGCTGAATGTGTTGCCATAAATTATGTATGATGATATAAACCGCAATTAAAAACATGATTTTATTATAGAAAGGAAAGCTTATATTTTTTATTAATTCTTTCTTACCATTTACCCTCTGGAAAATGGTCATATCAGACAGATAAATCTCAAAGTCTTCCGCCTTCGGGCTTAGCCTTGGGTGAGTCTTTTGATATATGAAAACCACGCGTCGTGGAACTACTAGTGAAAATATGAAAAGAGCCATATGTATAAGTCACACACATATATATAAATAAATATAGTTACCAGTTATTGATATTCGTCAAGGAAAAAACAATAATATTTTGTTGGGATTATAACAACATCTTTTTTTTGGTTGTTAATACAAAGGAAATTTAATTTTTAAGA